CCCCAAAACCCCAAAACCCCAAAACCCCAAAACCCCAAAACCCCAATATAGCAATTATAAATTAATTAATTAAAAATGAAGAAATACGAGAACATGGAAGAGTCCCAGATCAAGCACTGGCAGGTTATTTACCCAGCCTACATCAACAAGAAGTTGACAATCCAGCAAGGAAGGAGAGTTGGCAAGGAAGTTGGAGTAGCGTAAGTCCATGCATCTTTTTGGAATACATTATCAGCAGAACTTGGGGTTAGATATCTCAGAAATTATGCTTTAGATATTCGTTGGCATAATAATGCTCAATGTCTCAGGATATCCCGCTTTCAATACTCATCCTTTTTAAAGTGACTTAGAGATTTTTGTTTGGTAGTCGGATATACCGATCTAAATTTAAAATGTTATCAAAATTCTTGATGAAAAATAAGTACCTAATTGCACATAAATTGCTACTCTTCTAAGCCTGCATTATTTTATAAAAAAATGAAGGTTTTAAACCCTATATAGCTTTGAAATTTACATAATTTTGTTAAGCAAGCCTCTTCATAATTTTCAGCAAACTTCAAACAATTAATTTACCACAGAAATCCAACTTTGCCTGAAATAGCACAGATATGACAATCTCTTGGGCTAAAATCTTGCATGGAACCTCACAAAGGATACCCAAAGAACCCTTTCACTAGAGGAAGAGTTAAAGTGCTTCTAAAAGACGATGATGGTCAAATGCAGCATGATACTATAATGACAAAGAAAGCTTTGCTGCTTAAACTCTGCCAGTTATTTCCTAAACTAAAGACTAGGCAAGAGAACCCTGATGGAGTCGATGCTGCTCTTGAAGAAGAAAAAGCTTTAGAGGCAGCAGCTAATGCTGAACCAGCTCCTCAGACAAGAGCTGAGAAGAAGGAACAAAAGAAAGCAGAGAAAAAGAAGAACAAAAAGAAGGGTAAGAAGAAATGGTAATTAATTGCTTAAATAACAGCTGTTAATTTCAGTACCAATTCAATCTTTTCAACCCTTTCTTTCTATAAGGGGTTTTGGGGTTTTGGGGTTTTGGGGTTTTGGGGTTTTGGGGTTTTGGGG